GTGGTTATTTATACAATGGAACAATACTTAGTAACAAAAATAAACTTCTGATACACATGTAACAACATGAATAAATCTCAAAAACATTATGCTAAGTGAAAGAAACTATACACAAAAGAGTATATACTGTATGGTTCCATTTACATGAGGTTCACGAATAGGTAAAACTGATCTATGATGATAGAAATCAGAACAGAGGTTGCTAAGTGGGAGGGAACTTTCTGGGAGGTGATGGAAACATGTATGCATTTATCAAAACTTATTAAATTGTACACTTAGAATTGGTGTACTCGGTATATGTAAATTTTACCTCAGTTAAAAAAAAAAGATGTTTACAGCAATTTTAAAAATGGAAACAACTTAAATATCTTCTAGTGGGGGATAGTTAATAAAGTGTATACGCAAACTCCACACCACTGAAAATGGTACGAGAGAAAGCAACTTACTGACAAGGAGAGATGTTCATGACAATTTATGTGTAAAAGAAAGTTATCAAACAGCATGCAGAGTACAACAGACATGTAAGCACAGAAAAAGGTCTGGAGGCTTTTCACCAAAGTGAGACTGGAGGTTACCTTCAGAGGTATAATTCTGGATGTTTTCACTTTTTCTACATGGAACACGTACTTGCTTTTGTAATAAGAAAAAAAACATTTCTAGATAGATGTTATAGATCTATAGATACAGTTAATTCTCCTTATTCATGGTAGTTACATTTCATAAGTCCCCAGAACTCTGAATTAGTGAATACTGAACCATCACTCATGGGAGAAATACAGGATTTGGTTCCTGTGAGCATCTGGTCACAACATTTTCATCAGCTAATCAATACATAACCTTGTTTTATGTGGGCTTTTACCTAAAGGCATCCTATTGAATATATATTGTAGATTCACTAACATTGAACTCACAGCCAACAGCACTATAACTCATGCCGAAGAAAGCTAACTTATCGCATGGATTTTCTCAGGAAGGCACATCACAGTCTTTTTGCACTTAAGAACACTGGACAGCACTAAGCTTGGGGACATTTTAGACAAGGGAATTGTCACAAAAAAGGGAGGGGGCACAAAAATGCGAAAAACACGGCACTAAACAGACCATGAAAAGGACACTTGTTTGCATGAGAACTGGAACGAGGAAGCAGAGGGTCACCTTGTTCAACCTCAGCTGGTAACACACGTGTTAGGCGACTCAAATTTTCTGTCACTCTGTACATAGCTGTGAATGACCACAAAAGTGGTCACTGATTTGGGGGGGGGGAACAAATAAATTTTAGCAAGTAGGCCAAATTCACAAATATAGAATCGTCAAATAGTTAGGATCAACTGTATATAGACTTATCTGTGGAGGAAAGTATCCCCAAGCTTCGGGCCAGCACTCCTGGGGTGTCCAGGGAGGAAAGGGAGGGGGAGACCCAGCAGGGGGGAAGCAGGCGCAGAGACAGGCCACCTGGGAGGCAGGAGCCACCTACCCCCAGGCAGTCCCAGCCCCAAGTCGTAAGACCAGAGACCTGACAACTTGGAAGGAAAGCCAGACACAGCAGAGAAAGATGCATCTCCTGGGGAATCTCATCTGAACCAAAGCAAAACCACAGAGGAGGGCACCTCTGACCTGCTGGCTTTCCAGAGAGGCTGGACTGGGAACCGAGTGGGAGTTCATGGTCCAGACCCCTCCACAACCATCTCAGGAATGTGTCTGAAGTCACGGACACCGCCTTGATTTTGTCTTCTGTCATTACTGTTTCATGTTTGGGAATGCAAAGTCTTTACCAGGGCTTACAGGAGCCAGTCCCGACCTCAGCCCAGGGCCTCACGCTCCCAGGAATTCCTCAGCCCCGCAGGGTTCCCAGGACCCTCGTGCTCAGAGCTGGGAAGGGGCTGCTCAACCCTGATACTCCCTGAAAGAGGCAAGCCTCATCCCATGCCCTAAGATGAACACGCATCCCTCATCGAAGTGGGCGAATCTGGAAGGTTCCTCCACCAGGGAGGGGCTGGCAGAGACTCTGAGGCTGACAGTGTCTCTTAATAATTAGCTCAGGACGCCCAGACGTTTCTGGTGAGTGCACTGATAATCCATATCGCTGTGGCCTACCAGGTCAGAGCTTTCTTCTGGAGGTGAGGTGCCAAGCTCTCAAGGGCGGGCACCTTTGGGGGCATTTGACCAGCTCACAGTTACATCTCCTCTCCCAGGAAGGATGAGCCCCCAGCCCTGCTTGAACCTACTCCTGTCCTGATGGGCAGAACCTCCCTGAGGACAAGGATTGCCCCACACACATGCCAGGTCTGCTGCTCGCCAAATGCTGTGCTTTGTCCATTCGGTCTCTGCAAGAATTACCCAAAACACGGACGTGGGCAAAAAGGTGAGGGCCTAACCTTTTAGCGTCACGCTACAGCATTCTCTAAGGAGCCCACCCAAGGGCCATGGGACTTCCTGGGGGAAGTTCACCTTGTTTACTTGCCATTCACTGTGTATTACAGCCAAGGTTCTGCAAAGCTGGATGTTAATTTGTACAAAACTGGGGCTATGTAAACGATTTCTGCTCAGTAGAAAGGATAACCCCAAAGGCTTTGTTTTTATTGTCCTGTAGGATCTAACGTAGTGATTTTATTTCAGGTTCTTATTTCATATATATTTAAAATATATCACAGTTCCTATATTTTCATATGTATGAAATATATGCATTATATATGTGTATATATATGTGTATACACACACACACACACACACACACACACACACACACACACATCAGTAAAGGATTAACCTAACCCAAAGAGAGGTCTGGCCTTTGCACTTGGCTCCTGGGAGGTATCTCTAAGCTCTTGAAATGTTCTATCTGATAAGAGGGTCTGGGAGCCTTGGGCCAGATAGTCTATGCCAACATTGTGATTTCTGGGGGTATCCCTTGTGCCAGCTCAACCACCAGAGGGGCTAGAAACAGCTCAGCCATGCAGGAAGCCACCATGTATACACGACTGGATCCCACTAAGAGCTCTGGTTCAGGGCAGCAACCTAAGCGTGGTCTTGGGGACCCCAATCTGCATATTTATCCGTTTCTCTAAATCTCTTTTGAATCAGCCTTGCCATGTTGCTGGTTCCACAATCCACACGTTCAATACAACGCACGCTCACAAGCCACTTGTGTGAGAATTATGACTTACACATTTTGAGACTTGCTACACTTCATCTCGTGGTTCATTCATTCCTCTAATGAAGAGAATATGAAGAGAGATGAAAAACATATACGCCCCAGCACTGCAGTGTTTCCAAGAGAGGAAGGAAGGGGCCCCATTAGGGTGGGGCTTAGTTACCCCTAGAGGAACTGGACAGCCCTGCAGGGTGGCGAGGGGCGGGGGGAGGCCGACGTGAAGACACATGATTATAGTTGGCCGAGTCGATGACGAGGTGGCGGGCGTGGGGCGGGGCGGGGGGCGCCCTCAGAGGCTCCGGAGCTGAAAGAAGGACCCGGGAGCCTTCCTAAGGCTTAGCGAGGGCTTCTAAAGTTGAAGTCTTGATGGCAAGCCAGTACGTCTTCGGGTGGAGCCAATGGTATTTATTTTATTGGTCACTGAAAAGCGCTGAGTCAGTTACTTAAGGGTAAATCAGTCACTGCCCTTGAAAGCCCTGTCTCCCCAGCCCCTCGCAGAATCCAGAGGACAGGTCTGCTCTACTCTGTTGGAGGAACCAGAGGTCCCTCCCACAACCATGGTCCAAACCTGGTTCTGAGGGCCTCCGACCTCAACAAGGGACCCAGTGTGAGCCGTGGTCATTCAACACATAAAGCATAAAGTCCTGCCACCCACGCCTTCACTTGGGGGAGCCAGGCCTCCCCTCAGCCCCTCACACCTGGAGTCCCTTCTGTTTCTCCCCAAAGAAAGGCCCAGGCAGTCCTGCGCCCCCCAAGTATGGGCCAGCCCCTGAAGCTGTCCACCTCCCTTCCCGGAATCAGGCTCACAAACCAGTAAAGGAGGTACCACTGGACGCTTCCATGTCCCAACCCCTTCCTCAGCTCAGCTTTGGGCCACAGGCTCACTGAAGCATCATCATCATTATTATTACTGCCCTTGCTGTTCTTCGGCTATTATTTGTAATCCAAAGACTTTTAGGCAGTTTACAATAAAAGCATACACATATAGAGTACTTATATTTTAAAGAGACATATAACTAAAATCAGTAAGTTAGGTAATAAAAAAAGATGAGAGAGGATCATTTTGTCAGAAAGTCGAGGTTGAGGAGAACTACTGATTCCAAATTCAAAACTGACCCCTGAGCCTTGGGGCTGCCCAGCTCTCCTGGAAAACCAGGCGGGCTGCAAACCTGTTTGTCAGGCAGGACCCACTGTCCCTGGATGTGGGTGCGGCGGGGATGGGCTCTGTCGCTGTCTCTGAATCCCACCTGAGCGCCGCTCTCTGGGCCCATCAAGTTCCAGAGCCAGACTGAGCCTGGCTCCTGGGCTCAGAAGGAAGGCTCTGGCTCTGGGTCCCGACCTCCCCTCCTCCCTCTGGGCATCTGCCCAGTAACAGGACCAGGGCAGCAGGGTGAGGCCTTCCTGCTGCTGCCGCCCACCAGGTCCATCTGCCTTATTCTACAACCGGCGTGGCTTCAAGGCTCCTGGATCCTCATCTGCATCTGCTCAGAGCCCAGATATCCAGCTCTGCCTGCCCCGGCTCTGGGATAAGTTAGAGCCAGAGCAGAAGACACAGGCTGTACACTGAATCTCCTCTTCAGGCCAGGGCTTACGATGCTCCTTCATGCCTGGCCCGAGCAGCGCACACAGGACCCCACCTCTGTGCCCACAGGCAGGGTGCCGGGCTCTCCCCAATTTGGCCAGTCCCGAGCATTTGGTTCAGAGATGCTTAGGAAAAAGAAGGAAGGAATGTGGAAGAAAGGAGAGCTGCTCGCAGAAGGAGGGCAGGGGAGGGAGAAGCATCTGTAGATTCTGAAGCTCGGCCCGGCCAGCACCCCCTCCTCTTGCCCCCTGCCCCCCACAGACTCACCCTCGTCACAGTTGCTCCCAGTAAAGCCAGGGCAGCACCTCCACTCCAGTGCCGTCACTGTGCGGTAGGACACTCTGTACGTGGGTCTGATCAGAGTCCTGTAACTAACACAAGGGCAGAGTCAGGACAGTGTGAGCACCTACCCGCCCACCCCAGATCCCACTCCTGCT